AAAACTACAGGATTATACACATATCTTGGAGTAACATTTAAGGCCAATGGATCAATAACCTCAACTGCAGACAGACTGGCAGACAAGACTACAAAGCTGCAAGGATCCAGTCACACATATATCCAACAAACATGAACAGTATAAGGATAAAGGAAAAACTCCTGATGTCATAGTATAGTATCGTCTAATAATGTCTAAAAATGACTAAGTTATACATCTCTTTTTGGGGTAACTGTTGGGGCAGTTCGTTTTTCTCAGATAATATCGTTAGACATCTTTGCCAACATTTCATTAGACGATAATTATCCGATAATGATTTATATGACATTGTCGCGCCTTCATGGGCTGTAATTTAATTGACAACTCACTTACGCATACACCTTGTGAAAGCTTCAATATAACAGAACACAACACAAATCCCTTTTACCACAAGTACTACTAGTATCTCCTCATGTACACATGGCTGTGATTTGTGTCAGTACTAAGTGGTGGGCGGTCCACAGTACTCCCGTACTACCCCCATCACATATCGTTCCCTTTTTATAAATATCTACAAGTAGCTTCGCGATGAGTGGCTCTGGCGACGAGTGGCTTTTACAATAATGTTTTATGTGTCTTTAACAACTGGTGCTAATTTGGGAATACCATTTTAGGAGCTATTATTATTAATTTGCCCTTAGTTTCTAACTTCAACCAAGAAACATTTGACCATTTATAGTATGGGATTTGAATCGTGCATTTTTGTTATACTGCTTAATGAAATACTGTAAGTAATGATTTTATTGGTGTTGCAGAAGGATAGTTGATTACCGTTGATTAAAATTAATAATCCCCAAAACAATTTTTCAATATAGATGAGAAATCATAGAGAAATCATTGTCAGTAATGAAATAGTAACACTTCTCAATGAGCGTATTTTGCAGTCAGTGTTATTAACTAAAATATTTGTTCACAATTTTATAAACTGGCTTGGCAATAAATGAGATTTGCAGTTCACAATTTTCGGTTTAGCAATATTAGGGATTGTCAACTTGTCCATGGTAGCTACAGGATTTGAAAAAAAATATTGTACAGGCATTTATTTTGTAGTTACATTTCATGAATACCATAGGATTCATAGTATTTTTTCTTACTGATTTGAATACACTATGTACTCGACAGTTTGCAGTACTTGTATTCTGTGTACTTCAGCATAAATATCGGATTGCTCGTTTATTCTTGTCAGTGTCTTACTGACATATACAAAATGTGAGCACGAAAACGTCAGAATAGTAAAAAGGAAAGCTAAAAGTCACTTTCCCATGCCGAGAGCCACAGAACCAAAACAATCTGTCAGCCGTCGTAGTCCACAGCAGCAATGTGATTTTACGCATGGACATTGAGAATCGCAAGTGTAGACACATTGCATAAAAATGAACACTGTCCCGGTCAGCAATCGAATCATCAATCTTCATGAGTAATGTAACTGGTATTTCCATCTATTTGCTTAGTGGACCGAGAGTGAATGTTTTCAATTTCGAGAGTGTGTTTTTACGTACAGCGACCGTGACGTGAGCATTATTGCTACAATCAAAGATTGAACAGGGAGTCCATTTTGGGCTAAAGTTTTTAAACAATTTAATCCACAGCAGTGGCAGATCCAGAAAAATGTATTGGGGGGGGGGGGGTCCAAGCTATGCTTAAGATATACGGACCGTAAATCGCAGAGAAGCTATGCGTAATCCAGGTGATACGAATCGTCATGCGTTTGGGGGGGGCATGGCCCCCTGGCCCCCCTCTGGATCCGCCACTAATCCACAGTATAACAGTGAGTGCACAACAGCAAATACGTTGTTGGTGTTTATGAGTTCTTGTGTGATTGGCCGTATGAACAGCTCTTCCAATACTGTGTTTTACTCCCTGTTAATTTAATCCAGATTTAACTCTTTTGTTTCAAGCCTTTTGTTTTAAGTCTCATAGTCTATTTTTCCTTTCAACCCGTCATCGCGTCCACTTATTTACTCAACAAAACGTGTCTGACTCTTGATTTTTAGAGCTGAGTAGACGATGGACTGCTTCGTTCCTGTAGTAAAATTGATGATTCGAATGGTATAACCACGGTTACTAGAAAACGTGGTATAACCCAACGTCGGTAAAAACAAAATGGCGTAATGAACATTTACACATGCCAGTGTATGACGAGCACGTGAACAGTTTGTTGTTCAGATCTTTTTGTGTTTACTGGGCGAGTTAGTAGTGGGCTAACCTTAAATCTGACAAATCGACTTGTGGGACGAATCGACTTGTGGGACGAATCAACTTGTAGGACGAATCGACTTTGGGACGAATTAACTTGTGGGACGAATCGACTTGTGGGACAAATCGACTTGTGGGACGAACCGACTTGGGATGAATGCAACAGCAACACTGAAACTACCAGGCCAGTTGCAGCTATGGCCACTAACACAATGGCTTGTCTCTATCAGCTGCAACGCGGTCGCCTTTAAAAATGACATTTTCACACTGAGCATCTATTACGTTATTTTTTAGTTTCCTTTGGAATATTAAATGTTTAACTTTTAACTACATAAAACGTCATTGTAAATGAAGTAAGGAGTTTTATTTTAGGTTATCAGAAAGACTAGAACAGACCATTCCTAGTCTATCAAATAGTGTAATAACTAATGCTTTTGTCACGACAAAAAGGCAGTTTTGAAGGTAACTTCTATGGTCAAACTGACATCGAGTTTAATGAAATGATAAACAAACATATCTTGAGGGCGATCAACAACCAGTTTTGATAAGCACATAATGAATTAAAATCCGAGAATGTTAGATCATGTCCTTTCTAATCACAGGAGCGTTTTATTCAGTTGTTCACTATATGCGAGTGCTGGGAGCGACAAAAGCTGCGAATCAAACTATTACATCGTAAACAAAAATGACTTTACAGTTATTGAGGTCTCATTCTTAAACTCGTTCCTCTGTCATTTGGGATAAAAATATTACGTTATAATTTACCGTCTGAGTATCATCCTCCAGTGACGTAGCATTATTATGATGTATATATCATATTTTTAATCTTGGTAGTAG